AATTTTTTTGAGTAAACTTTTTTTATTTTAAATATATACAACAAAATTAGCCGAGTTGGTTTTTTTTTTTAATTTACTTTGAAATTATATTTTTATTTTTATAATAAGTAGAAAAAGTGATTAAAGAAAAAACTAAAATTTTATGATAGGGTGAGAATGTGGGAAGTACATTTTAGTTATTTTTAAAGAGTACAATCTTATTAAAAAACTTTAATATATGCTGTTATATTTTTCGTTTTATATTTTATAATTTTTTAATGATAAATATAAAAAATAAATATGGTTTTAATTGGTAGTTTGTTGGAGACTTTGAAACGTTAGTGGCGACTGATAAAAAATTTTAGGAAGAGGGGTCAAATACAAAATTTAAGAGTCAGCGAATACATAATTTAAACCAAAAATTATGACTTTATGAAGGCATTAAATACACGTAATTGACAAATTCCCCGCCCTTAAAACCCAGATCTTGAGCCTGTCCTTGCCAATTGTGGGTCCTCTATGGATAAACTAAAACGAACCTATGGAAAAATTGAGACACAGATTATTGTTGATTCAAGCCCCCCCCTTTTTTTGGATAGGGTATGAAACTATTTCCCTTCTGTACCATGAACAAGCAATAGTACACAATCCTTTTGGACACAGAGTAGGGCAACTTGTTTTTTCTTTGTATTTTATTAACCCCCCCCCCCCCCGGAAAATTTTTTTTTGATGAGATGTATTTTATTACTTTAAATCACCTTGTTCTCACTTCTCAGTGTTATGCTAGTACTTAGTCCATGAAATGAGTAGTATCTGCTTTTTACTTGAATTTTATGTATAAATGTATGTTCAAGTTTGACTTGCGGTGTCTGTTCACTGGTTTTCAGTTTAGATGACTGATCCTTGATCTAACTTACGAATTTGATATCAGGACTGGGACAGACAAAGTCCGACACAAGTTGTCACAGAGATGTGTGGATTTGTGACCATACTTTCTGGAACTTTTCTTCTTCATAAGACTAAGGATATGGGTGATGGTATGCTCTGTCAATCTTACATGTTTATCTCTGTTTTCTTTTTTGGTAATCTTTCATCTTTATCTTTAATCATCAAGAAAGTTGTCCAAAGGAAAAAGAGACTCGTTGATGTGGATGTGATTTAATTTGCAACCTCTTGTTCACGGTGTAGTCAGGTCAAGTCTAACTTGACCTGTAATCAAGCTAAAATTTATGATCAAGCTCTCAATCATTTGGTAAATAAACCAAGTCAAACAATTCACCGACACTAGCATCTACATATACTAGTTAAATTAATTGAAAAGGTGGTCATTAGCAAATAGCTCTTAGTTTTATGAATTTTCGCATCCCAACAAATAGGTTTTTCTATTTCCCCCATACTAACAAGAAGTCGTTTGGGCATTCCGATAATTGACATGTTAGCACGGGGCAAAGGGAAGTTTACGATATCGGTTATGGGATGTCTGGGTGGCAAATGAGTTGATGTTGATATAACAACAAATGCAAGCCTTATCCTTCTTACTGAAGTCAGCTACATACATCATATGATATCATTGAGCTCTATCAATTAATGAATTTACATTGATAGGAAAAAAAATAGACAAAAAGATCTATTTGTTGGAATGTAAAACCATGTAACAGAGAAAATTGAGTTGTTAATATCATGTATTTATTAAGTTCGACTCATTTACTCCAACAAGCTCAATATTTTACTCAAGTTTATTCTTGTTATAAACAATTAGAGCTAAAAACAATCAATTAAGGACTCGAGTTCAAACAACTCTAGTTCATTTGCATCATTGGACTGATTTATGTGCTCTTGCTCTCATACTGACATCTTTAAATACAATTAAATGTGGGTCTCACCTGTTGCATGGAATTCGAAGTGTAGTGTGCTATTCATGACTTAGGAATGGGATATCTTTGTATAAATCACATATATTGATAATGTGTAGGTTCACCAACAACATTGCCCGTCAAACTTCCTAAGCATTCAGAAGAGGATGACTTTGGTAATGGTGAAGGGATTCCCCTAAGACGGCAGGAATCCTTAAGAGCAACATGATATAAATATATTCTTTTTGACATGCCAATTCTCATACTTTTGTCTCTTGGGGAGGGACCTTGTGAAGTTCACTGTGGATTTGGGATATGGAACAATGACAGTTTTCCATCCCCACACCATCATATATTCATTTTGTGATACAGTTGGGATATGGAAGGATGAGATTATCCTGTCATTGTTCTTTTGGCTTCCCTGATGATTATTGATGTTGCCTTGTACACCTCTCTCTAAGCTCCACACATCAGAAGACAGAGTCCAATGTAATTTTCTGCTCCCCGATTATTATTATTATTATAGTGTATCTCACTTAAATCCATGTAGCTCTGTACCAAATATTGAAAATGTTGTTTATATTCTTATATACATTCACTCTTTGCAATCATTTGCGAGGAGTCAATTGAGACTCACAAAAAATGGGTTTATTAATTTAGTGAGTTTTTATTGGTTCCTTGTATCTCTATCTGTGTATCTAGCTTCTCAATTGTTTTTAATTTCTAGTATTTGCACTTATGATGGATTTACTAATACTTAAAGACCTGGAAGCTGAATTTTAAGAGAGTAGTTTGTCATTGACGAAGCTGTTGTCATCTCTTATAATTAGCGCTCTCATTTCTTGAAGTACAATGATCACTGATTTAGTAGTACTTCAAAGCCTAGAAGCTAAATTTCAATAGAGTAGTTGCCACCAATGAAGTTATTGTGGTTATTTTGTATAATTAAATTTGTTATTTTTCAAGATGAAATAAGCATTAATTTATAGTCATTAATTTATTAACGCTTGAAAAACTATAACCTGAATTTTAAGAGTTTTTACTATGGAAGGTTTTATTGTCATTTCATATTAGTTGGTAATTGCTAAAGTAAAGAAGTTATTTCATATATTTTGAAATTTAGTAGTTATTCTTATATAAAAATTAGATAATTAAGTTGTTAATATTAAAAAAATTAATTAAATTAGTTATTTGTAATAATTGAGTGTTATTTTTCTTAAAATATTTTTATTAATTATGTGTATTAGAATGAAAGCTTTTTAACATATGTAATCAGGGATTATTTTGAAAAAAATGAATAAATATGAGAGACAAAATAAATTGATATCTTATATTTAAAATCAAATTAAATTTTTAACTTGTTTTTATATTTGTATTTAGGAAATATTTTGTGTACTATTATCAAAGGACTTTTTTTGGCCTGAATTATCGAAGGACTTTAGTGGCCAAGTAGTTATATCATATTCCACCTTGAAGATGACCTCAATTCGAAGAAATCTTCTGCTATTGGTTCAGAGCTGCGGTGAGAAATGAAGTTTTTATAAGAATCATGCCATTTCGAAGACATTCTTGTTTTATCTCAAAAACAAGAGAAGATTCCACTCTTTTTTTTTTTAATGTGGTTTTCGAATATCTCCTTCCCATTGCATCAGGAGTTGACTTTGGTATTGAAATAACCAAATACTACCTCCGGTCCTTATTATAAGACCCCATTTGACTTTTTGTTTGATCCTAATTATAAGACCCCAATCCATTTTGTCTCTCATATTTATGCATTTTTTTTCTAAGATAATCCTTCTAATAATGATAGTTCTAGCCAATATACTTAATTAGCAAGGATATTTTTGGAATAACAACACTTATTTATTACAAATAACTAACTTAACTTATTTCCTTAATCTCCTCAAACAAGTCAACTGGGTCTTATAATTAGGACCGGAGATAGTATCACTTACATTCTTTAAATACTACCTCTGCTCCTAATTATAAGAGCCAGTTGACTAATTTGAGGAGATTAAGGAAGTAAATTGAGTTAGTTATTTGTCCTAAATAGGTGTTGTCTTTCCTAAAATATTCTTGCTAATCAAGTGTATTAACTAGAACTATAATTATTAGAAGGACTATCTTGGAAAAATTGAGTAAATATGAGAAACGAAGTGGATTGGGGTCTTATAATTAGGACCAAACTAAAAGTCAAACAGGGTTTTATATTAAGGACCGGAGGTAGTACTTTAGATTTGGAAGTTAGTACCTCCCGTTTTTAATACAAAGCACAGTGAATTAATTTGGATAGATTAAGAAAATTACTAAATTACTTGTAGTTATAATCTTTCTAAAATATTTATGTGTAATATTAGATTATATACCGACTTATAAGTGAGAAAAATTAGTTTGGAGAAAAATAATAAACATAGATACTTTAAAGTAATTTAGTAATTTTTTTAATCTCTTCAAATTAATTAACTGGGTCTTATATTAAGGACTAGAGGTATTAACTTCCAAATATGAAGTATTTAAAAAATAGTAGTGCTTGTCCTTAATATAAGATCTAATCCATTAATTTAGAAAGATTAAAAAAATTAAAAAATTATTTAATTATTCTTCCAGTTCTTAATAAAGTACCTAATTGTTAAGTGAATTTTGATTTTAAATATAAGACTTATTTATCATATTTATTAATTTTTTTAAATTACTTCTATAGATACTCCCTCAACTATAATCAAGTAAGTGAGGAAAGAAGAATATTAAGAAAAATGATTATGATATTTTAAGAAAAAAACATGTCATATTTTTTTACAACTAATTAACTTACCTAACTCCTCAATCTAATCAAATTAGTTAAATAAATCTTATATTAAGAACCGAAGAAGTATAATATATTTTATATAATCTCTCTATGATACTTATATTCCAATCACTAGATTATGGGCCTGTTTATAAATAAAACAAATTAGTTTTAAAAGAACAATAGATATAAACATTTTTAATTAGTTTATTTAATTTTTTTAATCTTCCAAAATCAATAAACATGATTTTATATTAAGAACCGAAATTCGAGCATTGGAAGAGAATACTCAATAAAATATTGCGGATAAAATGTGTGTTTAATTTACTTGAAAATTTAAATACTGATAAATTAATAGCTAGCAATTTATGACTTCTGGCTTGTTAACAAATAACCTGTCACTCTGCAATTTACTTGCCAATGATATTAATGCATACAAGTATGTGAAAGTTCCTATTGGAAAATGGCCTGACATACACATGCGTGTCTCTTCATAATTGGTTTGATTTATTTACAAGTATTTGATCGATACAACTAATAAAAAATATCCCTAAAGTTAAAGTAATCAATGTCATCACTCATCAATTAAAAGAAATCTTAAAGTACTAGAACACAGCTGCTATCCTTTAGTCTTTTGCTTCAAAAGTCCTGAAAGGGAACCGCAATGTGTTGATTTATACTCGCATTTCTCACAACAAGACTCCAACTTCTGAATGACTTGAAGGCATCTGCACAGCATGAAAGCGGTGAGTAGAAGCCTTTAAGAACCAAGCTAATGAAGTTCGATAATGCGTCAAGCTTACATAAAAGACAAGGATTGTTGCTTTAATATATCAGAATATGGAACTTCTAATTATAGTATAGTGAAATAAATGACACATCATCACAATGAATGGTAGATTAATGAACCTAACTTTCAAAGCAACATAGAACAATCAGAAGTGTTGCTATCTAGCTTATTCACAGATCCAGCGTCCAAAAGTTGTGCAAAGTTCCACTAGGTTGGAAGCAGCAAAACTGCAAGGACTTTCATGTGCCAGGCTTTGTGCAACTACTAACCCATGACTCGGGGGAAAAACGAGGAGACCACTGTCCCAAACCTCCACTACTGGCAAATTAAGAGAGCTGCTAAAGGAATGTTGCAAAGTAAACGAAACTTGCTACCGTCAGGCCTCTCATCATTTGTTGTACAGAAGTTATGTTTCTTTTTGCAGCGGAGTCAATTTTTCTTCAACACATATACTATTCACCTCAAAGGATTTATTTGGAACAAGATTTGGCTAAAATTCTTTATGTATTTGCTATCAGATACTCTAATAACTTGAACTTTTTTTTTTCCCACCACAACGTTACATAATTGACCTTTCAAAGAAGATTTTCAACTTCCAATTAAGAAAGCTGCTAAAAGAATGTAGCTAAGAAACTTGCCACTTCCAGGCCTCCCATAATCTGTTGCACAACTGATTCAATTACTTCGACTCGGCATATATAACTTCTGGCCATACATAAAGGGCACCTATAACTCACTTAAGAGGTTTTTTTTTGTTTTTTTTGGAGTGAAACTTAAGAGGATTTATTTGGAACAAGATTTGGTTAAAAATGTTTAGGTAATCAGTAATCACAATCTGATTCTCTCACTAAAAATAAAATTTGAATTATTTTTAAAATAAAGCAGTACATGACTAATATGCCTTTATCCTGCAAGACGATAATAATAAAACCCTTAGTAGTTAGTATCTTAAAGAAAAAAGGGTTCTGGTTTCCACTATGGATCACAACCTCATGCCTTCCTAATTTATGTAAGGGTATAAGAGTTAGGTAGCTGAACTGCTATGACCAGTTGTCATAAAATAACCGATAGAAACCACTATATAAATAACTCTAGCATATACGATAGAGGTGTGTGAAATAATAGAATACCTTTCACCTCTGATTTCCATCAATAGCACATGTACGGAACTAATATTGATTCTATAGCAGACTCAATTTCTTCAGCGACACATGTACAATCCAACTAAAGAGGTTTACTTAAGACAAAACTTGGGTAAAGTTCTTTAGCTGTTTGTTATTATGTCCTTCACTGAAAACATAATAAATGGACTTTGTATACAACACAGCATCACATGATTCACTCTTAAGAAAAATGCTTTCCCCCCACAAATCACAATTTTATTTAGGACAGACCTAAAAAGAGATGAGATGGGATACTCTCAGGTTGCAGCAAGAGTGAAATGCAAGAACTACATGCCTTAAAATGTTGTATTTTTAATGTTAAGACTGCTCAAAAGGCTTACAATCTCTTCGAATAGCCTCCAACTTTCCAATCATCAGAACCTACTCTTACAACCAAAACAAAAGGATCATGCAATCCATGGCACAGCAGATCTCAGTTTAGTCCTTAACTGCTCTTTTAGCGCTATGAATTCATACGCAGATATTGTAGTAAAAAGATGGTTATGTCCATTGCAAACGAGTATAAGATTTAAAGAAAAGAAAAAGATTATGGTGAAGATCTATGATATTCTGTAAGCAAGTTATTGCATTTTACTAATTTGTCTGCAAGTTGTTTCTTTTTCTACAACAGTCAGAGTCCAGGCACAGACAGATGATAGAAGTAAACAGTATAACAGTTTATTATTTTAGAAGAAAGAGAAATAAATTTCACAAAATGAAGAAGAAGAAGAATGAATATAATACAGGATTGGTTAGATTACTCATCAGATGTTCCCAAGCATCTGCAAGAGACAGAAAGGATTTCCAGTCACAAAATATTTACACAGGATGGATGTTGGTCTTAAGCAAACGAGTAGCTAGAGTGATGAAAGGAACTACCACCATTTAGGCCAAAATTTTTTTTTTAAAAAAATGATATTATTAGTCAGATGGCCAGCACAATCACTACCTTCGCCAATATCATTGTACATATGTACCAGACTCAAAATTCATTTGTTTAATTGACCCCGTGCTAAAAGTAGACAAGTATTAATGATGTGCTAACATACCTACTTGCTTGATTATATTGGCTTTCACATCGGAAGACTAGAATCTCGAATGAGGATTTCCATACATAGTTCGTTAGAGGAAGCTCCACATCAAAAATAAACGCAACCAACAAAATCTAGATGATCCAAAACCAGCTACTAACCAACGACGGCCAAAAAGTGAACGGGAAAACCATTTGACGATTTGCAATCAAACATATTCAAGCATTTCTGAGGAATCAAACAAAAATCTTAATGGTTGACAAACAATCAGATTCCAAGATTGAAATAAAAAATACGGTAAAAATAGGTACCTTTGAGACATGAAGTTGTTCTTGGAGAGACAAGCTTGAATGTCGCAAGCCTCTCTCTTGCAGGGCTCTTTGCTTGGCGGAGGCATGTTTCGGGAATCAGTGTAGCTTCAATGTATGACAGCTATGAATGGCAGCCTTCGCTGGCTTCGATTATGCAGTGATAGTGGTCGTCGATGGCGGTGGAAGCCAATGGAAACGACGCCGTGCAGTGGTAGGCGCAGGTAAACGAGCGAAAGAAGAAGCCGGTGAATCGTCGTTCTGGTTCTGGAAGTTGGGGACTTTTTCGAGCCATCTCGTGCCGTGGCCAGATTCTCTACGCTATTCGCAACTCACAAGGATCCGGTTCGGGAGGTGGGTCCCACCGGGTTTACTGTAGGGATTAAAACAAAACATGTGAGTAACAAATAATGACCTCGGTAATTTTGAAATTTTAACATGAATTCCTCAAAACTCTTGATTTATGCACACAACTCCCTTATTGATAATTTTATAATTCGCCACCTGCTTGTGTGTAAATATTATATCAAAGTCTAAGAAGTTTATGTGTATATGACTCACAATGCATAAAACATAAGGTTAATATAATTTTTAGTTTCTCAAATTTAGTCTCATTTTGGTATTGGTCTTTGAAATTTCATACTTGTGGTTTTGATCCCTGAAATTTAGTCTGTTAGCAAATGTTAGTCCCTGGTAGTAAAAAGCCCTAAACGGTATTAGTTTAGATGATGTGGCCTGTGACTTAACAACATAACCTCATTATGTGGCGTGATGAACTGACCTGGACAGATAATTTAAAAAAAAAAAAGGAGGAGCTTCTTCATGTTACGACCACTGTAATCGTCGGCTTAGGCTTCTTCATCGACGTCGGAAGAACTCGTCAAAGTACGTATCCTCATTTGCGGCTTAGAACATACTGTGTTTCTTAGATTGTGTTTGTTATGAAGCATTAAAAATAAGGAATTGGGATTGGAATTGCAATTAAGAAAATCTATTAAAAGAGTGTTTAGTATAAGAGATTATTTGTTATATGGGATTAGCTAAACCCATGCATGTGGGATTGGAGAATACCATGGGGAGAAGTGATATTTCCCAATCCTACCTCTATGAATTTGCCTAATCCCATATAAAAAGCAATCTCTTATACTAAATACTATTTTAATGATTTTTTTTAATTACAATCTTAATTCCAATATCTTATTTTCAATGTTTCGTTGTTTGGACCTTTAAGTTTTGGTTTAGATTCGGCATTCAAGAAAGTGTAGTTCATCTTTGGCCGTTAATGCACTGATGCTTGTGCAGAAATTGGTGACCATTCTTTGTGCCAGTTTCATCATGCTTCTCTTGCCTTCCTGGGACGAAATCACTGAAATTTTAGACAGCACATTTTTTATAGTAAAACAAAACCTTCAACATCACAGGTAGATATTATACGGCAATGAGACACACGTTTATACCAATATGTATATATTGTAGACCTCCAAGATCACAGGTTGAATCGTTAGGAACCATTAAACAAGCGAATCGTTCTCACATTCTTTGAAGTGTAGCGAGCCACGTTTTTGCTACCAATGCCAAGCCACTGTAAATAAGGCTTCTGTAAAGACGATGAATTGGTGTTTCATCTTCAATCTCTATATGTTCAACCCAAGTCACCTGCTTAAGAAGTTTTAAGACAATAAATTAATGGAGATTGCTTTTTTTGGGTATCTAAAATCAAAATAGCTTATAATTTGAGTGGAATTGGAGAAGATAGGATTGCGCTTAGAATACCCATTTGGCATATCCTGGATATGAGACCGAAACTTAGGAGCAAACTGGTTATCTTGAGGAAAATCATAAGATACATCAATTATCGCTATAAGCCTTGCTCAATTTACTGACAGTATCACAAATGAGTGTACTTTATTCTCCGATGAGTTATTCTGGTGTCCGTGAAGAAGCCCAAGCCGGCGATCATAGCAGCGGCTGTAGAGTGAAGAAGCTCCTCTTCTTCTTCTTTTTTCAAAAACTATCTGTCCAAGCCAGCTCATCATGCTACATAATGAGGTCATGTTGTTAAGTCACAGGCCATATCATCCAAACCAAAACCATTTGTGGCATCTCAGCAAAATTTAACGAATTTTTACTACCACGGACTAACGTTTGCTAATGGCCTAAATTTCAGGGACCAAAACCACAAGTATAAAATTTCAAAAATCAATACCATAATGAGACCAAATTTAAAAGACTAAAAATTATATTAATCCCTAAAAAATATATAAAATATGGATACATATAATTAACGGTTGAAATTTATCTATACAAAATTAAAGTTTAAGTAAGTTTGTTTTTGATTTGAAAAGTCAAAATACCACATCAGTCTTTAATATTAAAAGCTAGTTACTAATTTGAATAAATTAAAGAAATTTGTTAAGTTAGTTATTTGTAATAAATAGGTGTTGTCTTCCACTCTTCCCTAAAATACCTTTGCTAATCATGTATATTAGTTAGAACTACTATTTGATGAAACCTTTAATATGTGTAACTACTATAAGGACTACCTTGGAAAAAATAGATACATATGAGAGACAAAGAAGATTTGGGTCTTATATTCAGGACAAAATTAAAAGTCAGGCTAGCTTTTATATTAAGAACCATAGGAAATATTATTTACATATATCATTCCAAATTTATGAGAGTTTTGTTTAATTTAGCAAATAAAATCTGTCATTTTCTTTTACTACACATGAATACCCTTTCAAATAATCTTGTTTGAAATGGTGTTGGACACTAAATGTGGATATTTCTCCCAACAAGGGTTTCAAACTTTAGTTTGTCGTGTTGTAAGGGATTAACTTCTTCTAATAAACCTAACTTCTTGTTGGCTTTTTATTTCTCAAGTTTGAGAAGTGAAAAAATCTTGGGCCAAGATCAAAGCAGTTAAGAAATTTATTCGAGTCGGCTCAAAACTCACAAGGTTGTTAGTTTAAATCTCGCTGTCGATGCAAAGACTTTGTTAATAGACGATCTATAAGTACCTTGGCAAGCGATCTCTAAGTCTGAATACATATTATAACCCTGGGGAGCCTCTGAGAGTCAACTCACCTAGACTTTTATTTATTTTTGCTAAAGCATAGATATCATTCTATTAGAGGTAATTCTATTTAAAACACTATTAGGTACTAAATGTGGATACCTTTCCCAGTAAGAATTTAAATCTTGGTTTGTCACTTTACAAGGGATTAACTCTTTTTACTAGAGCTAATATACCTAGAGGAACTTGGGCCTGCGTTTGAGTTATGGGTTTTTTTTTTGTTTGAATAGAAAGAGGCAAGCAAAGCTTGTTACGAAAGAGAGATTAGACCAGAGGAAAGTCTAGCTCTTGTCCAGTGCATATTGAGCCGCACAAGCAGATATGACCCAGTCGAAATATACAGTTCCACTTGCCACATGTGCAGTCTCGGCCGCCCAGAAGATCAACACAAACTAAAGCTTCTCTGTGTGTACGATGAAGCGCGAAATCCCATATGTCTGCAATCAAAATTCGGATATCTTGACTAATGTTCCAGAGAAGATGGTCTTGGTTACCATCTCGAAAACCTGCTAGGTTAATAGCTCCTAGGAAGTCTCAAAACATTTTAATCTTTTTGAATGAAAGTAATTTAAGAAAATTCATTTATCACAAATAATTAATTTAATTAATTTTTTAATATTTTTAAATTAGTTATTTAGTTCTTATATTAAGACAGGAGACAATAGTTTCTAGGGAGTCTGGGAATATTCTAATCTTCTTGAAATTCTTCCATAATTTCTTCCAAATCGGCTGGTGATTCAATTGAGAGGAGTGTTTGATGAAGTGATAAGCTGTGCTTCAATTGAAAAATTTCCATCGCTAGCGTGTCTCTGCCAGCAGTAGTCTATGGGCTTTCGATTGATTTGGCTAAGCAGAATACACATTGACATATATGTCTCTCCTTCACACACACACACACACATACACGCGCGCGCACACACACATATATGATTCTATCATATGTAAGTCCATAGGCCTTTATTAGAAAATGAAAGATAACATAATAGCTTTCTAATCTTTCGATGATTTTTTGTAATCTTATTTGAATAAGAAATTATACTCTTCTAGGAAAAACAATAGTAGATACTGTACTTTTCAATTGCAGATAATATCAAGTACTCCTCTTGATTTTAATGCAGAGTCTAATTGACGAGTTAATATTAGTTCTATATGTAATATCTATTTAAATGTATATCAATTTTTTTCTAAATTAACCTTATTGATATTCTCCCAACAATAATCAAATAAAAGAAGAAGGGAGGAAGGGAATTAAGAAAGATACTTAGGGTGTTTTAGAGAAAACATATCATATTAATTAATTTAACCAACATCATTAATTTACTCAAATTAGTTAATTACATACCATAGAGTTTTTTTTTTTTTTACAAAAATCTGATCGGTAATAAAGTTAGGATTATTATTACACAGACCAAGCTACAATTTTACTACATCATGAGATTTTTTTAATGTTATTTTAATTTTCGTTCTCATAAGATCATTCTTACCTGTCAGTTGACATTATTGTATTTCAAAAGCAAAACCTTTATCATTTAGAATTAATATCTATGTAAGATTAATTGTGAACGTAACATATCCACATTATTCAATTCACTCCTAATTAACCTTGCTTTCTTTATTTTAAATCTTTACACTAATTAATCTTAAAGTCACAAATTGTTGATTACATTTCTCTGAAGGTCTATTTGGCTCAATATGAGAAAGGGGAGGGAGAGATTTTAATGGAGAGAAAGGGAGGGGATGAAAAGGGAAGGATTTTAATTGTTACCTTGTTTGGATTTATAAAAAAAGAGAGGAGGAAAAGAGTTTTAATATTACCTTGTTTGATTCATGAGGAGAGGGGAGGAAAAAATATTTTAACATGGACAATTTTGCCCTTATTTTATTTAAGATATGGGCATAATGATCATCACATGACAAAATATGAATATAATGGTCACAACATGGCAAAATATTGCCCTTTCACTCCAAATCCTTCCAATTTTAGAGGGGAGGTTGAGGGGGGAGGAAATTTTTTTTAAAATTTTCCCTCTCTTTCTAAAATTTGTGTGTTGTCAAACAAGAAAAAATAATTAAAATTCTTCCCCTCTCTCCCTCCCCCTCCTCTTCAAATTCCTCGTGCCAAACACACCCTGATATTCTTCTTCAGACCAACCTTGAAAGAAAATTTATCATGTATAGACCCCACGACAGGTACGGTATAGGAACAAATATGACTTCAATTTTTTTCTGAAAAATATTACTTTACTTTAAAAGCCCACACCACATTTCTTTTTCACGCCATTCTATGAGTAGCATTATAAAATATGAACTTCGTTTGGACCTAAAAATGACACTCAAAACCCTCCCCATTTTGTCCAGCCCTTCACTTGGTTCTACTAAAATGAAATACTACTTCCTTCGCCAATTGTAAGAATTAGATAAATAATTTATAAAAATTAATTAAATAAATTAGTTAAATTCATTATTTATAAAATGTGTGTTAGTTTTTCTATAAGTTCATACTCAGTCATCATTTGTATTAAAACTATTCCTAATGAAAACCTTTGATAAGAGTAGTTTGGGAAAAATTATAAATTTATTAGACAAAACAGATTTAACATTTAAAACTAAAATAAACTTTTTAGAGAGAATTGTTATGAAGTCTCAATTAAGAAACATAATTATTAAAAAGTCTCAGTAACAATAAAGCAACCTGCAATGATAAGTTTCAAAATAGAATCAGAAATGACAACTACTCACTTGTCATTAGGAATTATTGATATTTCTTTTTTCCTTGGATATCATTGTAATTCTCTCAAATTTCTAACAAGCTTATGTATATTTAGGACCGAAATACTACTGCATATCTTGTCTAATCTAACCTCGCGGGTAATAAACCAATTTTTATTTGAAAAATTAACACAATAGATCTCAAGCCAATGTACTTCACCTTAACAACTACTTTTCTGGTACTTAATGTGCAACTTAATTTAAGAGTTAATATTCATCCTATATATAAGACCTATTTCATGTGTTTATCAATTTTTCTCAAATTAATCATAATGATATTTTCTCAACAATTCAACTAATATCTTTAATCTATTTAAATTAGCTAATTAATTTAGAAAGATAGAAGGAGAGAATTAAGAAAGATGATTAGGGTGTTTTAAAAAGAACATATCATATTAGTTAATTTAACTAACATTCTTAGTTTATTTAAATTAGTTAATTAGGTTTTACATTAAGAATTATAAGAGTATATAAATAAAATCTATTATGCAGCAAAATAAAAGAGAAGTGTGAAATTTAAATTGCTTAAAAAAATATAATTAACTGGATTAAATTCAGTGATACTACCTCTTGTCCTTGATATAAGAGTTAGTTTGACTTTTAATTTGATCCTAAATATAAGATCCTAATCCACTTTGTCTCTCCTACTTATCTATTTTTTCAAAGTAGTTTTTGTAGTAGTTACACATGTTAAATATTCAATCAAATAGTGGTTCTAGCTAATGCATATTATTAGCAAAGGTACTTTAGGGAAGACAATGCATAAGTATTACAAATTAAATAACTAACTCAACAAATTTTCTTAATCTACTTAAATTAGTCAATTAGTTCTTATATTAAAAACATGAAGTAGTATAATAATATTAATAGAATCCCATAATGTGATTAATAAAACTGTGGAGCAGAACTGAATGAAGATATAAAACCTTATATTACAAGCGCATACGTTGGTTTTTTTTTTTTTTTACACACAGTACATTTTCCAAGAATTAAACAAACTAAAGATTAGAAGAAAAAACAAAAAGACATGCCTCTTCCAACAAAGTGACAAAATTAAAACCCAAAATGCATACATTAAATGATTTTTTTTTCTTTTCAATAATCGTAGAGGAAAGGGGACGCATAGAGAGGATTATGGTGACTACTAGGAGACCCTTTTTTCTTAGAAAAAAGATCACCCACTAGAGGAATTATCGGCTTCATCTTCTTCTGTTTCCTTTCCCTCATTTTCCCACTCCCCAGAAAATTATAACTTTCTCTCACTCCAATACTCAGAATCTGAGCTAAAGTTTCTTTCTTCTTCTTCTTCACTGCTTCTTCCTCTACTTTAATCTCTCCACTATTATTATTTTTATTATTAATACCATTACTTTTCTTGTTATCATTAAGCTCCATATAGTCATTCAATCTCTCATCAAACCTCACCGTTTTCGCCGCAGCCTTCCCGGCGGCCACCGCCTCGGCCTGAGCAAGCTTTGACATGTTCTTGTGAAGCTCTGCGTTGAGAGTAGCCAATGCCACCTCCGTGTCGCTCTCTCTTTCCTTCAACAGCTTCAGCTCCATCTTCGTCTCCTCCAGCTCCGCCTCAAGCTTCTTTAGGGTTTCCAGAAGTCCATTGTCACTATCATTATTCTGATGATGATCATCATAGTTGTAACAAAGAATATCTTCTTTCCGATCTTCATGCTTTATCGTCGTGATCGTCGTCGTCACCGGACTTGACGTGAACCTCCACGAGTTCTCTCGCCTGATCGGCTTCGTGGCGGGGGTGGCCGCAGTGGCAGCCGGTGAGGGCAAAGGAGAGCCAGTTTCTTTGACAAGAAGGCGGTCACCAAAGATGGCGATGGCTTCCTTGACGGAGCGGAAAGCGGAGGAGGTGTCCACGGTGGAGGCGTAATCTAGGTTTTGAGGAGGTTGAGGTTCCATGATGTGGTGATGATGCGGAAGAGGAAGGAGGAGATGGAGATCTGGAGATATGATAAGGTGGAGAAGATTGGAGGGTTGGTTGTTAGGTTGAAATTAATATTGTGTTGCTGTTGTGAGACGTGTTGTGAGCGTAAGGGTTTTCTTCGCTTGTACTTCAATGGTTGTAGAAGGAGGAAGGAGACATAGAGTGAAAGCAAAGTGGGATATATCGAGGGGTTTTAGGTTTCTATTATAAGGTTATTGGGAGACAAAAAAGGATCTGATTGTGTTGGTGTTGTGTAGGTTATATGTGTTTGTGAGTGTGCGCGCGCGCTTGGGGTTTGGTTCATATTGGTGAGCCTGAGGATGACTACCAAACCAACTACTAGCACCAGTCTTAAACATCAAATACAATTGATTGATTGGAGAAGATTAAGAGGTTAAATGATGACTTAATTATATATATAATCTGTCTCAATATTTGTGTGTATTATTAAATTATATATATCAATTTATAAGTTAGGTAAATTAGTTTGGAGAAAAATTATTAAAATAAATATTTAAAGTAATTTATTTAGTTTATTTAATCTTTTTAAATTAGTTAACTAAGTATTATACTCCCCCGATTCTTAATATAAGACTTATTTAACTAATTTGATTAGATTAAAGAAGTTAGGTAAGTTAGTTAATTATAAGAAATGTGACACGTTTTTCCTAAAATACCATAATTATCTTTCTTAATATCCCATCTTCCTCTTCTACTTGATTGTAGTTGAGGGAGTATCTATAGGGATAATTTAGAGAAAACTGATAAATATGAGAAATTGGTCTTATATTTAAGATCAAAACCAACTCAACAATTAAGTCTTGTATTAAGGACTGAAGAAGTATTAAGGATGGGAGATAGTAATTTACTGGTATGTATATATGTCACGTGAGGAATTACGTGATAGAAATTAAAGTGATGATGATTCTTCGATCCATGTACAGTAGTGTTATTCATTAGGTAAGAGCCTGGTCAGAATAATTATGGATTTATAAGAGTAACATAAGAAGACGATAATCAGTGGACCCAGTACGAAAGAAAATCGGTTAATCGACTTTTTTGGTAGCAAAAATGATAAATAAAGAAACTGAAAATTGTATATTTTAAATCAGGTACCTCAAGAGTCAAAAATGACAAAGAAAGATGTGATGCCTGGTATGATAAGTAAATGTGGTTAAATAACTGAAATATTCTGATATCAAAAAACTTATTAATAAGTTCTGAATTGATAATGACAAGTATTGAACAGCAAATGATGAGAAATATATTGACAATAATAAGTTTTTTATTAACAAGTTGTGAACTAGCAATGACAAATGTTAAATAACCAATGATAAAAAATATACTGGCAATGACAAGTTTGATAGCTTTTTAAAAATATGATACAATAACATTTTAGTCATTTGACTATATTTACAAAATACTGGATCATGTAATACTTTTTTCTCTATCATTTTTAACTCTTACATGTTTGAATTGAAAAATGATACTTCTCCTATTTTTAATATAAGACTCATTTAACTAATTTGATTAGATTAAGGAGATTAGGTAAGTTAGTTAATTATAAGAAAAATGACACATTTTTTCTAAAACACCATAATCGTCTTTCTTAACACCCCATCTCCCTCTTCTATTTGATTATGGTTGAGGGAATGTCCATAAGGGTAATTTAGAGAAAATTGATAAATATGATAAATGAGTCTTATATTTAGGACTAAAACCAACTCAAGAATTGTGTTCTATATTAAGGACCAGAGGAGTAATTTCATAGTTCTTTTTTTGATTTCTTGTTGGCATGTGATGATTTGAATGGCCCAAAAAAAAAAAAGTCAACTTAAAGGATAATAAAAAGTTGTTTAATTAAATTAAGCCTTTGATTGGTATGGTATATTATGAGTGTCTTGTGGGCCGACATCGATCATGTTTGCTTTAGGGGCTCATTCGGGTCCTAACCCACTTAATGCGTTTGGTTCTTTCCGTTGGACATATTAAGATATCATTAATCGGTTAAGATCTTAGCTTAGTTAGTTAATATCAATCACAAATAATTAGTTTGGCATCCATAAAAAAGTCCTAATTTTTTTTGGGAGGCACAAATATCTTTCTCCTTAAAACAATCATATTTGAAACACTGTCAAACACTAAATATAAACACGTTTTCCTTCGAAGACTTGAGTAGTTCATTATGTTGTCCGTTAGACCAAAATTCTGTTAGTTATAAAAAGTTCCCATTAGCACACATGCAATAGGACTACATAATAGGGAAATTGGTTTGATCGGGAACCAACCCATGGACCGGTAGAGGGCAGGAAATGAGGGGTTTTTGAAACCTGTCAAGAATTGACCAACGGGTCAACAAATTGACGTGAACCAGAAAATCTGGCTGGTTAGGCTGTTGAGCGTTTTAAGCATCAGATCTAGGAGGAAGGAAAATAAATAAATGGAAGAGGTTGTTGAGAGAAGATGAAAATGAGGAGAATGAAAGAGATTTGAAGAAACAATTAAGAGAAATTATTCTGGGACAAATTATCAAGACTTAAAGGTGGATTATCACCCAAATATTTTATATGATGCATCTAACATTCTTGACATTATTTTTTAGTTATATTCATCTTTTTTTTCTTAGTAAAAGAAAGTTTAAGTGAAGTGAGTCATGAATTCATCAGGATCAAAATATGCCCCCAAACTCAAAAGGTGCTTAAAGAAATACTAATAAATATCCACCAATAAAGTTCTTACATTGGCGACGGGATTTGAACTTACGATCCTATGAGTCATGAGCCAACTGCCTACCAATTAAACCATGACGACAAAGGGGAGAGAGTGAAGAGGATGAATGAAGGAGGCGTGAGTTATGAGCCGACTCCTTATTAGCTGAGTTATGATAACAAAGAGAAGATATTGAAAAGGATGGATGAGGGAGAAATAAAATTAAATACATCTAATCCTAAATATAAAAAATAGATAAGTGGTTTACTTTTAGTTCTAAATACAAGACTTCAATCTTATCTCTCAAATTTGGTATTTATAATTTTTTTCCACAAAGTATCCGTATTGATTGCATATAGTTTAAAACTTTCCATCAAAAAGTAATTACAATACACATAATTAGAAATGATATTTTAGAAAAACTAACACATATTTGTCATTGATAACTAGCTTAACCAATTAATTTATGAATATTAAATTAATTATCCAACTTTTATATTAATTATTAGAGATAATATCACATTTTACTATAACAAGCTCTACCATCCTCCATAGTGAAGATCTCAATGGTGTATGCAAAGTGTCCAGATTAGTTGGGAAAAACAGTCTTCAATCTCTAAATAGACATCTGAATTTATTTCTTTAAATGCCTTTTTCCCTTTCATCTGTTATTACTTGTTTACTTTTAACTTTCTTATACATTGTTGTTAGTTAATTAAGCTTTTTGTGTTTCTATTTAAATTCTTACTTTTCTATCTGAAATAATTAAAATAAACTTCAAGCAGTTTTTGTTTTTGTTTTGTTTTTTATCTTCTATATTTAAAATGGATAACATATATTTAAAAAATTATTAATGTAACTAAAATCACTCCAACCATAAACTTTTAAACCACTGTCTTACCTAACTCAATGGCTGGTCTCCTTCTATGATTTTTTTGGGTTTTAAAACCTTGAAATTTAACCCATCAAAAGTGCAAATAACAGTAACAAAAGACGTGATTTTTTGTTTGCCAATCTTTTAATCCTACAGATACTTAAAACTTATATCGAGGTGTATGAGTATCACAAGCATCAAAACTCTGAACTTGTGTTATGCATATCGCAAATGATAAAGTACACCAAAAAACGCCCACACACCACACACCGCTTCAGGCACTAAACCATCAAATCTAAATTCAATTTCACCATCAAAACCATTGAGGTTACAAAAAACAAACGAACTAGAAGATAGTTAAAAGGTTGAAGCAGCGTGCTCGATAACTTCTATGAAACTACTAAGAAGTCTGAAAAGTTTCATTTATATCATAGAGAAAAAAAATGTCAACGTTAGGTAGGGAAAAAAATTTTGAGGTTCTTTTCCCTCATGTCCAACCCTTAAACTTGGCAATGCATCATAAAACACAGGTTGCAATCAAGTAAAACTTCAGCATTTTGCCTTCTGACAGAGATAAGAAAATACAATAGCGACATAGGAGCTAGGACAAGCAGTATAAATATACCATCTGAACTCTGAAGCAATTAAAAGATTAATACTTCTCAGATCTAGATTTTGGATTTTAGGTTATGTATGAAACTCACCGAGACATGACCATGCCTGTCTAATCAAGGATTAATGCAAACAGCAGAAGGACGGTGTCATGAAGGGTAGATCAGAACCTTCCTCAGCGATCAAGAACTCTAGAAAAAAATTCAAAATCTAGCCAGCACGAGACATTTTTATCCTGGGCATTGACTTCTTCATCTGACGAGCACGGTCTTTTGCTTCTTTCTTACGAATAGCCTCTGCACTGAGCTTAGCCTCGACTTCCTCCATCATCTTTCTCCTTTCTGCCTTCTTTCTCTGCAAGGCTTCTTGACGGGCATTCTGAAGTTCTTTCTGTAGTTCTTGAGCAGCCTTAAGCCGAGCAGCCTCTGTCTTAGACCGGGCCTGCATTATGACCATCAAAGTCAGTCAGGACCATACATGCAACCCGATTTGCTATGAGAAGTGAGTACAAATACGATATTCGCCTACCTGAGAACTTAGCTTTAATCTCCCAATCAAATCAATATAATATGGTACTAGAGCCACCAACCGAGTCATGTCAGCCATATTCTTAGCATCTGGGAGCACAAACTTGAACACCAATACCTTCTTGTGGATGCCAGGATATTGATCAGAGAAATGCATTGATATGAAACCTTTTCCAAATTTCTCAAAAGCTTTGTCACCAAAAACCTGCAGAATATTGTAGTAGCTTGTTAGGAGGCCAGGAAGCAAATCTAATTCCTGATTAAGGACTGTACAGCACTACAGCTGGCGAACAACAGTCTTTACATGACACATGGTCCAGACAATGAATGATCTAATAGCAGCCAACCTTAACGAAGTCAATCTCAGCACATCAAGAAAATTATGCAAGCAAATCACATATATAAAAATTAAACAATACTTTAACCAATGGACTGTATACTTATCATAGGAACAAGGGAGAATGCAAAAGGAAGAAGCAAACAAGCAGAAAACCATATAGAGTGGCTGCATTTAGCATGGCTGTGCATCAAGTTCAATTTCATCTTCACATATAATACAATGAACTAGGAAATATAATAAGAGAACAGCTACACATATTAATCCTGACCCCTGTGAATGAGGTACTACTCAATCATTATTTTTTTAAGAGTGAAGGGGGTAGAAATGGCAAGCCCATATGGAATTGAAACTCAGAATTTTGCTTTAGCCCAATCTAGAACTTGAACATTAGGGAGTAGCCTATGCATCCTAACCACAACAATAAAAAACAGTTACATGGATCACACAATGCCAAGGCCACCGTGCTCTATCCCAACTAGAACAACCAAGTGAAATAAAGCTAATAATCCTATGTTGCCTCTTCAAATAAATCCTTAACCCTTAACAAGCGTACAAAATAGTTGATCAATTAATATCACGAGTTCAGATATTTTCAAGAAGAAATAATGGTCTTGCAGCTTTTGGATCATTAAGGACAAGCATAAAATCATATAAGAGACACTCTTATGGTATTGATTCACTTGTAAATTTTTAGTCTGTTTTAACCCCCAGAAAATTCAACATCTAACCTACTACACGAGATTAACAGTTAAGTCAGGTTCTCCATAAGGATCGAGCCAGGAGCTCAGAGAGTTCAAGTTCATTACCAATGACCTAACCTTGGTGATTATTCTGAAGAGTTAGTTTTCATAAATCCAAAAGCTCTTGTCAAGTTGCTCGTAAATTACAAAAGTCTGAATGATTGACTTTGCCATCAACACTGATACCTTCGGAGAATCCTATTGATGGGTGTTTCTTTTGAAGATGCTACTCATCTTATGTTTCTGTCTAAACTAGCTAAATATATTCATACATCTTGTCACTGGTCACTACAGATCCTGAAGTTTAAACCGTCCATTACTGATATATTTGATACTCCTATAAACCATCAGTATCATTCCATACTCATATATTCTAACTTTCTTCGTATCTTAAATTAACAGGTCCTAATCATTCAAACTCTTCGCTTACCAACAAACTAAGAAAATTATCATCTCATCATGGTAGTGTTTCAAGTCCCTTTTTCCACCTTAGTTTTCGGATGTTCTCTCTTTCATAAGTCATCCATGGTGTCCAACTAAAATGCTTTATAACTCATGAAGAACGAGAGCTAGCATTTAAGCAAAGGATTCTACAAATTACATATTATAATCAAAGTCAAACGAAATGCACATTAAGACATGATAATCCACCGTAACTAACTTGCAAAGATAAACAAAATCAGTTCAAACCTGCTCAAGCACAGTCTCTGTAATCAATTCACCAGCAACTTCCTTTGACTCAGAAATAACAGCTAACTCCTCAGCAACCCACTTCCTTCCACTGGGAGGTGAAACAGGAGCCGCAAACCTCTGCAAATCCCTCACATCCTTCTGCATAGCTTTCGCTGCCTTCTTCTTAGCCATAGCAAACACAACGTGATCCATGGCTTCGTCATTCATATACACCTCAAAGGTAATCTCATCCCTAGAAGGCACAATCATATTGTATATACTTGATATCAGATCTTGCCTGCTCTTCAACTCCATCGTAGCCAGCAAACCCTGACAATACCTTCTGCCGCTAGCGTAGAACTTGAACGCCGTTTGCCCCTCTTTCAGTAACAACGGTGCTTCATCGCCGCCTCCGCCGATACCCAAAAGACTAAAATTCTTCTCAAAAATCGAGTCTTTCGTCGCGAACTGAGCAGCCCAGGCAAGAGCTATATTCTCGTTCTCGCGCTTCCCAGTAAAGTAATTAATCGCAAACATAATCAGAAAACTCCCACAAACAATCTCAATCGTAAAAGAATGCGAACCCTTAACATCCCCAGATTTCGCAGATGCCTTAGGATCCGAACTATTATCCGCAGGTTTGGAATCTTCAGAAGTATTGGGGATTTCCGGGGTGGGTTGCTCAACAGGCAAGCCTTCAAATTCATCTTCATCCCAGAATTCGACGGCGGTGGTAGTGGGTGATGTCTTCGGAAGATCCGAAGCCGATGATTGAGAATCCAAGTTCAAATTCGGGTCGGGGCCAGATTCCGTGGTCTTGGGATCTGGAGGGGTGAGTCTAGTAGTTTGGGGCTCCGATTGCGTCAAAGGGGGTGATCGGAGAGAGGTAGGATCGATGGATTGGTCGTCGAACTCGTCGTCTTCGGCTTCGAAGCCTTCAAAATGAGATTCGGCTCGAACAAAAGAACACGAAGACAACTGATTGATGAAGAGAAAGAGGATTACAAGGACAAAGAAGAAGAAAGAAAAGCGCTTCGCCATGATTGATGTGCGAACAGGGGTAGAGCGGTGGAAGAGAAGGCGAAAGCCAGAAATCCTACTGATACTGAACTGCTGAGAAGCCAAGACGGAATGCAATTGTATGCCTGGGGTTACTTCTGTCTTTTGATTGATGGTATGAGCTATGAAAATAAATGAAAATTTGTCCACGTATTATTAGATCTAAGATAAAATGCACATCTGTTGCTAAAAAAACAAGATAAAATGTACATCACTCATTTTTTCTATAAAAACACAATTTTTATTTTTTTTCTATAAAACACAATTTTTATTTGAAAAAAGAAAATTAGTATACAAACTTCTTACCGAAGGATCAAGAATCATTACAGGATTAAAGAGGGGGGAAGGGAGTTACAAAAGACGTAAAGATAAATTAACAAAACCTTTTCTAAAATACAATCAAATAATGGATTGTAGTTTGTACGACTCCATGTCATTATAAAATTTCGACAAAATTTACATGGTTGTTGAAGATTTGATACAATTTTCTCTCTTTTTTTGTTTTGTGTAAACTCATACAGTCTCCCAAAATCATTTTGATTCGAGACTAATTTCTGTCTCTATTAGACTAGAAGTATTAAGATTAAAACTCTCCTATTAAGTACGTTTTTTAGAATTTAAATTTGTATTTTTTTTATAAAAATAAAATTGCTTACTATTTCAATCAATAGCTGTTAGTATCAAGGATTTGACACAACTCTCTTTTTTTACAACTTTATACCTACCATCATGCCATTTACAAGTATAGGTAACCAAACCCTTTCATTCCCAAGTGACCAAGTTGGGATATAATGCTTAATATTCCTATGGATCGCTAATTTTTTTTCCCTTTCAAATCAAATTTAGAAAAACAATTATACTCTTAATCATTGCTAAGTTTCTATCCTTATGAAGGGATAAAGTTGCACTTAACCAATCATAAATTCTTGTACTATTAAGACTTGAAGATTCGATTAGTAAAACCTCAAATTAGAGTCTCAACATATGAACCGTAGTCATAAGGGAAAAAAAAAACTTTTGAAAAGGCTTATAATAGAATAAGTTAGGACTTTGTAATGAAATGCCTCCATGAACTTCCTTCAAGTCTTTGTTGATGTGGTCTCTAGTTGTGTCTTTGTAGTAAATATGCAGCTTTTATGGAATGGAAATAAAACGAATATCTTGTAAACATTACGAGGGATGAGATATGGTTATCTAATTTCCCCTACCTATTTGTAATTTAAAGGAAAAACTAGTACTCTATATTTTATACAAATGAAGATCAATTGATGGCCTGCCCATCACACATTTGTGTTGTTATCTTTGGGAACTTCCAGTGCAGAAGGCAAATGTTATTCTAAATAGTACTATCTCCAATCCTAATTATAAGATTTTATTTGTAGTTTGTAAACGAGATCTTATAAGTAGAATCAGAGGTAGTATCAATCACTTCTATAAAAAGGTGTCGGTTAAAGCTAAGGTAAACTTCTCAAAAATTGGAATATTTTCCTTTGAAAATGTAAATCATAATTAGTGCACCAAGATAAGCATCATCTAGAGGAGCTCGAATGAACAGTGAAAGATGCTTTAATACTGCTCCGATCCTTAATATAAGACCCAATCATTAAATTAGTTTTAGTCCTAAATATAAGACTCGTTCCTCATATTTATCAATTTTCTTTAAATTACCTCTATGGATACTCTTTCAACCATAATTAAGTATAAGAGAGAGAGGGGGTATCAAGAAAGATGACTATGGTATTTTAGGAAAAATGATTCACTTTTCTTATAATTAACTAACTTACCTAATTTCCTTAATCTAATCAAATTAGTTAAATGAATCTTATATTAAGGACCGGAGGAGTATATAATAAGAGAGGTGGATTGGGTTTGAGACGTGAGAAATACTAAACCCACTCTCCACCTCATGAAATTGGGCTAGAACCTTATGAAACGAAGGGATGACTTTTGGGTTAAATTGGTTCAGAACAAGAACAAATAATGAGGAGAAGAAACCGTGTCCCAGAGATTGACTGGGAAAAAAAAAAAAAAAGAGGAGGGGTTCGAGAAACAAACTAAGAGAAATGTTGAATTTCTTTTTTTTTTATGAAAATCAAAATAATATTAAAAAGAGGATAAGCTTACATAGTCCCTTCATAGTATGGATCTAAATTAAAAAATGTGGAATGAAATAGGGAGGGGGTGATGTAGAAGAAGAAACATTAGAAAAACTAGACAACATTATTCTCAAATCCAGTCAAATAAGTGATTGATGAAATTAACCACACCCAATATAGAGTAAGAAATCAGAGAATTACCTTGCAAAACCAAGTAAATAATCTTCCTGTTGAAAGTAGGATCATGGGCGTGTTGGGAATTGAAGGTCTATATAAGGATCTAACTCCCAAAAAACAAAAATCCAAGTCAGATGCCTCCTATTTGTGGGGTTATGCATTGTGAGGTCAGCCACATGACTCACCACAGTCCAATGGACCTATCCTTGTCTAAAAGGAATGATAAGGTTTCTTTAACAAATTATGAGAGTTTGAATCGAAGTACCTAGGCTTGATCAGTAGTATTGGTCAATAAGGATCCTTTAGCAGAACTAATTGTTATCCAAATATATTTTATAAAGATATACTACTTTCCGATTCTAAATATAAGAGTTAGTTAGAAATTTAAGTTGGTCCTAAATATAAAATTTCAATCCTCCTTATCTTTCATATTTATTCATATTTTCTTAAAGTAGCCTCTATGATAATTGCAAATACAAATGTTAAAAGATCTCTATTCTAATGTACATGATTAACAATAGTGTTTTGGAAAATATAACATCAGTTTATTATACAAAACTCACAAATTAATTATTTAATTTTTATATTAAGAATCGGGATAGTATATCTTTATTAGTTCACTAAGTGGGTCTTATACAGAATCCCACTTCATTAACAGAGTCGAAAGAGAATTTGTTATTCATCTTGTATATTTGTCTCAATCTCCATAAGATCACACAAAATTTTTTGTGCATGTTTGATGAAGACTATAGAGCATGTATTTGATTAAATAATAAGATTTACAATACATTTTAAAATTAATATAATTTTCGGTCTCTTAGGGTGTGTTTGGTTGGAGGGGAGGGGAGGGGAGGGAAGGGGAGGGGAGGGGAGGGAAAATGAGCCCCTCCCCTCATTTGGTTAAAAATTTTGGAGGGGAGGGGAGCTAAAATGTCCCCTCCCCTCCCCCATTTTGGCTCCCCTCCAAATTGGGGGTTTTTGGAGGGGAGCCAAAATTTTAGACCATTATGCCCTTATGGTTTTTTAATATTCCACTCCTACCCATAAAATATATTATTATAATATTTATTTCAAATAAAAAATATATTATCCTAAGTAAAAAATAAAAAATATATACATTATTATAATTAAAAATATATTATAAAAATTATTTAAAAATAAAAATTATTTAAATAAAAATTATAATATATAAAATTAATTGTTTTTATAAATATATTATTTATTAAATATATTTTAAAGCTGGAAAAAAAGATAGCCTAAAGAAAATAAAATTTCATTTTTCTTAGAGCATATAAAATTTTTAATTTGATTATTTAAATATATTATTATATTAATTAGAATAAAAAATTACTATACCAATTTTTTAATACACATATTAACATGATAAGACTGAATTTTTATTAAATTATATAATTTAAATTAAGATGTAAATTAATTTATATAATATCAATAAAAAACATAAACTAATATGTAAGGGTAAAATGGTAAATTGATTATTACTATCCCTCCCCTCCCCTCCTTGAACCAAACAAGGGATCATTAAATACCCTCCCCTCCCCTCCTTTTTAATCAAACCAAACAAGGTGAGGATAAAACCTCCCCTCCCCTCCCTACCCCTCCCTCCCCTCCCCTCAAACCAAACAGACCCTAAGTTTACCTTCATTTAGTTTTTTTTTTTGAATATCTTCATTTTGATTTTGATTTTTCAAGTTTCAAATTACAGGTCTTGGTCAGGAACTATATCAAACCACAGGTTTTGGTTAGGGACTAATGGTTTTAAAAACATTAGTCAAACTTAAACACCAAAAATTATATTTTCATGATTTTATACAATAAAATCCCAGTACTTTCAAAATACAAACGTATTTATTAAATGCGTAAACCAGCTAGCAATCTGGTTTGATTTGAATGATGAATACATTATGAGTTATTCTAGTAGCAAACCTGTCAAATCAGTTGAACCAATCTAGATAATATATTATTATTAGTCTTATATTTTTCTCATTCAGTTTTTTTTTAATATCCAAAAAATCAAAACATGTTAAAGTCAAGGAAACCACTATGATTTATGACTTGAGATTTAGTATTTTTTTGAGTTTGTTTATTTAAGTGTTTATAAGCACGTTTCACATAACATGAAACAAAATTATTCTTATATATTTATTTTGTATCATGTAAGTTATAATTAAAAAACTCCTTACAAATAATTTTGGGTTACTTTTGTAGAATTTTTTCCTAAAAAAGGGGGGAAATGCACAAAATTCCCCGATAAGTCCACTGTCGGAAAAATGAAAAGGCTTGCTTGCTTGGTGATCGGTGAACATAGCACTGTGGAAAGATTCTCGATTCTCGGAAGCAAAAACCCGTGCAAGCCATGCCCATGGCTTCTCATTCTCATCCTTTTGGTTCTGTCCAGTTCTTCAAAATCATCTTGAAATCCAATCTTGAAGCCATTGTAAGCATTCTTTTTTCTCTCATTCTCTTCATGTTTTCTTTCCCCTCTTTTTCCCCATTTTTTTTTATCCATGTTTGTAGTTTCATTTCATTTGCCCCAAACGCACGCAACAGGTGGACCCTTTTTAAGATAAACGCAAAAGGTGGACCTTTTTTTTTGATAAACGCAAAGGGTGGTTCCGTTTTTAACTCCTGGACTTGCTGCTATGAAAAAGCTGAACAGGGTTTTGCTTTTAATCCGTCCCTTTGTTTTTTTCAAAAATGAAATTTCCAAACGTGGAACCTTTAACCTCGCACTTTTTCCCCTTTCTCGATTGATTTGTATGGAAAGTGTTTTTTTCGCCTCTGA